TGTTTCTTTTCTTTTTTCTTGGCCCCAACTTTCCATCCTCCCTTAAAAGCCCCCCAGCAATCTTTGCACACTCTGGCTCCAATTTCTCACTCTCCACTTGGAACTTCATTTAATTCCTTCCTGATTCTCCTCTGCGCTATCTGTTTGTCATCAACGCAGCTGAAGCATACAGGTGAATCTGGCTCAAAGATGCTATAATGGAAAGAACACTGTGACTCACTCTTTCACATTCTATAACTTAGCTGAAACACAAAAGATAGACTCCTCTACATTTAAAGGTTAATCATGGGGAAAACAAACTGACAATCTCTCCTTTCAGTTAAGTAGCTATTGTACATGCCAAAGCATGAGTATTTATATTATACTGTATATTGTTACATTGTAGATAACGAAGATATTGAAAACCATCTGTGGGCAGAAGCCCCACTAAAATCAATAAGCATTCTGGTCAAGGTTTTCAGGAACAGGAACCTGAATCCATATTTGGACACCTACTGTCAATAATTGGCCTGATTTTCAAAAGTGCTGTGCACCGAGCAGCTCCCACTGACCTCAGTGGGAGCTGGTGGGTACTCAACACTTTCGAACAAATCAGGCCACTTATTTACAGTAGGTGCCTACATATGGCTTTAGGAGCCCAGCTTTACTTCTTTATATCTTGGTCTTTGTGCCACAGGTTTATGATCAGCTGGGCCCATTAAGCTTAGTTATAGCTCCAGCATGACATGTATGTCTCTATTTTCTTCATATAATGTGTTTTTTAAATGGGAGATGCAATAGTGTGATTATTACGTTAGGTTCAAGCTTCATATACATATAGTAATAAAAGCAAAATATTTATATTTGCCTAATATTTAAAGTATGTTGAGGCAAGCCGGTTTTGTTAAGGTCCCTCAGCAGGAATCCTTAACCCAACATGTAAGCTGAGATGCTACATAGTTTATTGGGGTTTGATAGTTCTATTTATTACAACCCATGAACGGATGATCCTTTACCGTAAGGTATGAGAGGGGAACCCAGACCCATTCTTGGCTCCTCCCTCATTCACCTCCACCCCAATGACCACCATAAGCTCATTTCAATATTACTTAGCTTTGGGTCATTGGTGTTGTACTTTGTGAAATGACATCACTATAGGTGACCTGAATCTTAGCTAGGCAATCCCCAGAGGGCATCAGACATCCAGTGGGGTTAAGGCCCACACTTGTGTAAGTATTGTACAGTCTCTCTTAAATTTGTTACAAATGTTATGGTTTTGGTAGTACATGTATTGTTATTAAGCAGAATTACTATGTATCCCTGGAGTCTGACTTCCTGAAGTCTAGAGATGTTCACACCATCAAGAAAAAAAATCTCTTTGGGTAAAGAAATTATTTTATCAATCTATCCATAAGGCCTCTGCAAGTCAAAGGCTAAACTCAGATTGTCATCAAAGATGTCAGCCATTACTACACATCTAGAGATATCAGCAATGACCCAACAACTGTTACTTTTACCTAATAGAAATAGTGTTTGCAGATTTGTGGAACAAAATGATATAATTTAGTCATATTTTCTATTGGATAATTATGATGTACAAAATGAAAAAAGTTACGCCTGCATCTTTGTAAGGGTGGTCCAGCAACATGATATAAGAAGAAATGAAATTGTTTTTTACTGAGCCTTTCAAAAAGAGCTTTCAAGCCCTTTCTTTGCATTTTACATGCATGTCATGGAGAGGGAGGTTCCAAGTGGGACTGATGGCTTACTAATTTGGTCTTCTAAGCACCAGATCTGATTTGGAAAAGATCCCCACTGTATATTCATTGTCTATTTTAGGCCTTGCTCTTGAAGCATCAGTAAAACCCTTCTTTATTACTTCCCTAGAGGTAGAACTAAGCAACCAGAAGATGTCTGATTTGTCTTTGCTTTCTACCATTTAACAAACTATACATGCATGAGGTAAAAATCAGTTCATCAGGTTGCATTAAATACAGTGAGACATTGGTTATGTGCCTCACTTAGCTGGACTATAGAAGCATGTCTCATGCAATTGTTTTTATAGCTCAGGCAAAATTAGGTAAGTAAATGTGCCAAAACCAATTGCCAAGAGCCGATTACCTCAATTATCCCTGATTTGTGGCAGGCCAGAAAACACTGGAAATGAACATGCTGGGTAGAGCAGGATAATGAATATATTGCTCTGCACATAGCACTTCTCTAGTGGCCCAACAGGATCAGCAAAGTGAAACTAACAAGGCAGATACCATTTTCACTCTGCTCCTATTGGTTGGAGGTAGGGCAAGAAAGAGAAAAGGAGAGGGAAAAGTATGCAGTCCAGGAGGTGAGACACTGAGAACTAAAGAAGAGAGAAGAACATAAGAACGGCCATATAGGTTCAGACCAAACATCCATCAAGCCCAGTATCCTGTCTTCTGACAGTGGCCAATGCCAGGTGCCCCAGAGGAAATGAACAGAACAGGTAATCATCAAGTGATCCATCCCCTGTTGCCCATTCCCAGCTTCTGGCAAACAGAAGCTAGGGACACCATCCCTACCCATCCTGGCTAATAGCCATTGATAGATCTATTCTCCATGAATTTATCCAGTTCTTTTTTGAACCCTGTTATGGTCTTGGCCTTCACAACATCCTCTGGCAAGAAGTTCCACAGGTTGACTGTGTGTTGTGTGAAAAAATACTTCCTTTTGTTTGTTTTAAACCTGCTGCCTAGTAATAGAAATATCAAATGTGAGATACTTAATCTGAAAGAAGACTGGCTATATTTGAGCTCCTTATTGGCTGCCATCAGTCTACTGGTGATTAGACTGATAAGTGTAAGAAACTCAGAATTAAATCCTTCTCCTTTAATACAGTATCTGATTCTCCCTCTACATGATACAATAACTCCCATTAAAAGCTCTGTGTGAATTACTTGTATCCTGAGGTAGGGGAATCGTGTCCTTTGGATTCCTCCAATCCTCTGCTGGAAGAGATGTGGGAGGAAAAGGTTCCTCCTGAGAGATAAAAGTTAAAGCATGGTAAGGGTGTGAGTATGAACAAATGGAACGAGTGCTGACACTCACTCAGAGGCAAGGTAGGGTCTGAGTAAGTGTGGGTCTTTTATTTAAAAGACTCAAACAATCCTGTCGTCTGTTTGCTAACTGCTTCTGAATCCTTCCTTCCTGGACCCTCAGGGAAGGACCAGGCCGAAGCAGCTGCAGTGCACGGAATGGCAAAATTCACCTCCTGGTGCTGCTATGTCATTGCTCTTCAAAAGTCTCCCAAAGAGTTGGGACTGATCTGTCACTGCCGCTCCTCCAAGGATCCTTCCCTCTCCCCAGCATAGAGCATATGTTGGGGTCAGGTCTAGCGCCCTCTCCCCTTTGTTTTCAGGCAGCTTCTTGTTAGTATGGAGATAAATGGGATTGAACTTTCTTTATCCCACTGACTGCCACCAACAGGGATCCCTGAGGGTGGGAAAGGAGGAGATGCTACTTACTGGTCTCCTTGATGAAAAGGACTTGCCTCCCCAGGAGTCCCACAGGAGGGGTGGGTGCAGAGGAGCCACTGCCAGCAATCACCTTTGTTGAGAAATCGCTGTTGTTTCAGTGACTACTGAGAGGCTCGCAGGGAGTGGGGATTGAGGTGTGCTGCTAGGAGCCCTGCAAGGATGCAGTGGAACATCACTTCTATCCCCCCTTTCTCTTCCCCATTCCAGGCAGCACATTCACAGCCTCCCAGCTTTTGCTATGCCAGTGAATGATTAATCTTCCTTCTCAGGAGAAGGCCAGAGGAGTAGCAAAGCAGTATCAGAGGAGTAGGTGAGACCAGGAGAACCAATAGTTCCTCTTCATCCACACAGGACTCCCGGCGGTGGTTCTCTCCAACTGTGGGGCTGCTAGACACACAGCTCATCCTAATGGCCGTGAGAGAGGCTAGAAGTGGCTTCTTTCATTCACTCTGCCCCCACTCGCCCCAGTGATCACTGGTAGCAGTGGCATGGGGAGTGGATGGCGGGAGTGGAATGGATGATGTTAGAAGACCATCCCCATAGATTTCCACATCCACATCAAAGGCTATTGGAAGGACCTACTGGGTACTATCCTGGTAAGTCCCTTCAACACCTAGATCTCACATAAGGAGAGGGGAAATCAAGGAAGAAGGGGGTTTAAGGTATCACACACTTCCCATCTCCTTGATAATCACCATTGGCAAGAGAAGGCACCATTCCCTGCACTGCCCCTGCTATCCCTGGAGCCTCTCCTAAGTTTCCAGCAAAGGGTAGAGGAAATCGTGCATAATCAAATAATAAAAAGATATTTTATTTATAAAGCACCCTGCTCTGGAGCCTGAGGCATTGTACAATAATTCATAATAAATATAACAGAACAAATAAGTAATTAGCTTTTCTCTCAATTCAGGAATTATGAGGCAGCATTAGTCAATAGAAAACCAGATTGTTTTCTCTCTCCATTGGTTGGGTAATTAGTGATTCTGTGTGCCTCCATTTTGAGATGCCTACTTCAAGTGACCTGCAAGGGGCCTAATTTTTGGAGGGTGAGTGCTCAGCACTTTCAGGAACCCCAGGTCCCTGCCAAGATCTCAAGTTGGGCACTCAAAAAACAGAGGCACCCAAAATCATTTTTGAAAATCACTTTGGAAAATCTTGGTCCAGATGTTACACCTACAATGAGCTACAGGATCCCTGCCCAAATACTGCACTAATTGATGCTATATAAGTGCCGTCCAAAGAGAAGGCTTTTCACTTTGTAAACATCAGTTTTTCTGGTGGAGCCATATTTCAACCCCCCCCCCGATTTACACAATTACTGCATATGTTTGAGCAATTCCAATTACGATAGTCGTTGCTGACATCTTGACACTTCTCTATCTGATGGGCTATAGGATGTGACAGGCTGGACTGGGCTTGGACCATGCCTGGCCCTCACAAGGCTCCGTAAGAGACGAGAGCTTTCATCAAGGTTGGCAAGTGAATGAATAAAACTGCCATTGCCTCTAGATGTCCTTCACCTCCCGCCAGAAGCAGCTCATCAAGAAGCTGTGGGATGAGAAAGTTTTTCGGGAGGAAATCAAGGCTTTTCAGGAGAAGATCAAAAGCTTTTGGGAGAAGATGAATGCCTTTCGGGAGAAGATCAGGGCCTTCAGGATGGCGATCCAGGCCTTCTGGGAGGAGGAAAACCCCATCTGGGAGGAGGAAAATGCCTTTCGGGAGGCAGAAAAGACTTTCCGGGAAGAAGCAAAAGCCTTCTGGGAGGGGTACAGGGACTTCTGGAAGGGGTATAATGCTTTCTGGAAGAAGGATAAGGCTTTCTGGAAGGAGGATCAGTTCCTCTGGGAAAAGGACAAGGTTCTCCTGGATGAGGACAAGGTCCTGTGGGCAGAAGAAAAGGCTCTCTGGGCAGATGAAAAAGCCCTCCTAGAAGAGGAAAGAGCTTTCTGGGAGGATGAGGAAGCCCTACGAGAAGATGAAAAAGCCCTCCAAGAAGATGAAAAATCTATCTGGGAGGGGGCATTTGGCCCTCTGAGAGGAGAACAATTACTGCTAGCTGTAGCTATCAATGCTCCTGGGAGTCATGGCCCAGATATTCTTAGAGGAAGTGGGTAGCCCGAGGGAATGAAAACAAGGTGTAAATTATTCTGCTGGATTCAAAACCAATATTTGAAAAGTCACATATGATGAAGCAGCTGTGTAATTAGTCAGTTACCCTCTTTGCTTTGATTACCCTTCTGAAATAGCCTCTTTGACCCCAGAAACCTGATAAAAGCCTAATCGAATTTCAGTAGAACTATTTTACAGTGTCATTTGCTTTAAGATGATTGTATTTAGGTTCTCATTACATTATTTGTTGCTCTGGGATCTTGTGCATTGGTAGATGGCCTGAAGCTGTCATGCACCACCCCAGTTTCCAAACCTCTCACCTGTAAAGCAGGAGGTTGATGTTCAGTAGGTGCTAACATACCAGAGAAAGAGAATTTACCAGCTGAGTTCTAGATCATCATAATTATAAATCTGTCAGTCACTGCTGCTCCACCAGTGTAATTCGAGTCAGTGGAGTAAGGCAGTGGTGTTTTAGGCCCCCTCTTTATATTTAAGAGACATTGTGCTAAAGTCAGCGATGAGAAAACTCTTGCTCTTCCCCAACATTATGCTTTTGATCTTCCTCCTCATTGCTCTCTGGAGTCTGATGTGGATAGGTCATTGTTGGTCATCCTTTACTTTCTTCCAGGACTCCAGCTCCATCTGTCTGGTCTCACCCCTGAATCACTACATGGGAAGATGATCTGTTGAAAATTGGGAGGGAGCAAGGAACCCAACAATAGTAGGAAGACGATGTCAGTTGGAGAAAGAGGTGGGAGTGGGTCAGTCTGAAAGGGAGAAATAAGACAATAGTGGGAGGGAGCATGAATGTCAGGGAGTGGGAAGAAAGGCTACATACATAGCCCTGGATCATATCTAGCTTCAGAGCTGCCATTGTCTGACACAAAATAGGGAGCACTATCCTCTCCTGGGAATTCATTCCTCATGAGCTCCTTATAGAAAATCCTAGATAACTATTGGGTGCAATGTGTAGTCAATGTCTGTATCCCTGTCTGCAACAAAGGCAAGAAAAGAAACTTTGAACAGAACTCTGGGGATGTCCAGGTTTCAGGAAAGACATGAGTACCATAGTACAGACCTTGTTCTCTTGCTCTTTCGGATCTCACAGACTATTTTTGAAGAAGAAACAAAATGCTCTTCTCCAAACTCACCAAATTCAGAGCCGTGGAAGTTGATACAGAAATAAATCTTCTGTATTTGTCCCTTGTTGTTGCAGCTAGAGGTGAGATGAAAAGGGGAGAGGGACAAAGGCAGACTGTGAAAAACGTTAATCAGAGTCAACCTGGTAAACACTAAGAGTCAAAGTTGTTACGTGTGCATCTGTTGTGGTAGCTTTAGTAACATGTTCGAGGTTTAGACAGTGTTTTACGTTTAAAAGGTTTACACCATAATGAGAGAGTCCTTTACAATCCCTGCTAAAGAATTTGGAGACACCTGCATTTGTTAGGTATGTATACAGGATAAGTCAAGCACACCTTCAAATACAGTTTTTACATTTGTGATCTGCTGAAGGATGAGCTAGACTCTACTGTTTTATTGTATTCAGAACAAATTGTACACAAAGGCTTGTCTTAGAAATACATGAATACACAACTCCTTATGAATACCTACCCCATGAAAACCTTCTCATTAACTGGCTCAACCAAAGTAGGAATGTTTTGCAACCTCCTATTATAGTCATAAATAATATAGATGGAAATGCCCCATTAGACCATCCAGTCTAACATCCTGCAAATTCAGGAGCGTTCCCTATTATACATTTTAGAGCTGTATCATTAGACACTGCAAAAAGAAAAAAAATCCTTCAGAAGATAAGAATATTCAAAAGGCACCTGTCATTTCATATATTTTAATGTAAAAAAAAAAACCATGGGAATTTATCTCTATTATTCAAATCAGCATGTCAAATTAACATCCATTTAAACTAAAATTAGACATGTTTTTCCTTACGAAGAACCTGAAGTACATGAAATGCTTTTAAGAAAGATCCTATTCATTTTTTCTCATATAGCCAAGTAGAGTGTTATCGGTGATAGTGCTGTCATTATAATACAATGGTTGTGCTACTTAAGGAGTTACACAACACAGTGCAGAAAAGCCAGAAGTTTAGTAGGAGAAAAGGATACACCAATATGCTTTCAAACCTCTAGTAGCTCCCCTTAAAAAAACATTTAGCTTAAAATATGCATGGATTCAGGGGGCATTTGGACTGGCCCTTGTAAGCCTATGGCTTGAGAAGGGGATAGGCTTGATTGGCTGTTTTCACAGACATTTTCCCCAGGAAGGGGCGGGGGTGTTTAAATTTAGAAGGGGGTGAGGGCCAAAATATGAGACTGTGATGGAAAGGTGGGCTGTATGGAACCATAGTAAAATCTGAAAAATGTGTCACGACCATTTTATTAGATTTAACTCATGTTTTAAAATCATCACACAAATTAAAGTTGGCTACTCAAGCCGTCAGTGAAGCACTATGTTTACATCCTTTGCGGTTTCTTGTTGTAATTTTGCACAACTGTTAATGAACTTCTCAAATGCAGTGCGTTCATCTTTGGTGGCTTCTCGCATGCCCAGTACTTCCAGTCCTTCAGTGGATATGTTCATTAGTTCATTCACAGGATCAGGCAGAAGGCGACTTCTTTCAGAACACTAAATTCTATTCAGTGATGAAAAAGAACACTCACCTGTAGCTGTTATGACCGGGAGTAGCAAGAGCTGAATTCCTACTTCTTTCATTCCAGGAAACAGAACACAGATTGGGTTGAGCCACTAGTGATGATAAAAAAGAACTTGAAGTCAAATCTTCATTCATTTATCATATGACATTCCACTCTCTGTTCAAATTCTCTATTCTGTCCTGATCACATGGCAGCCCCATTGCTGGCAATGCCTCACTCCACTCAACTGTTGGTGTTTTATAAGACAGGCATCTATAAAAGCTACTTAGAGGGTGAGCAGAATCCAGAAGTAATTTTTTGTAGATTTGTAAGAATCAAGTGTGTATTTTTGCAGCTGGGTTAACACTTCTTGTCCTCTTCACTTAAGTGCCTTCATTAGTCAACTTCTGGACTGATGTCCTTGCTTCTTCCAGTACATTTTCAATGGATATCTCTGATTGAGCCCAGTGTAGCTTCTATTGCTGGACAAAGATCTACTACAAAGATCTACTACTGTTGTAGCAGATGCCTGGATCGCATGTTTAATGCCCCAAGTGGTTTCAACAGTAGATTTACAAAAGAGAGAATGGCAATTGTTTTCTCTAAACATAGTAACAAAAGTAGTCCACCAGCCTCACTACTTAGATCAGTCCCATCTTGGTAGATACTTTCCAAAGCCAGCAATAATTGTTGCCGTAATTTTAAGACATCAACCAAGGATCACTCATGGGAAAGCCAGTGGGTTTTCCCAGATTGGACTAATTTGAAATTCAGTCCCAGAGCATCTTGTATTTTTTCCAAGATGTTTGTTCTTTTTGGACTCTTTTTGAAAAAAAAAAGAGTATAAAGAACCATTACATTTATGGCTTTTAAAATGTCTTTTGAAGATTCAGCAACTTGTACTATTGCTAGTTGAGTAGATCATAGAATTGTAGGACTGGAAGGGACCTTGAGAGTTCTTCTAGTCCAGTCCCCTGCACTCAAGGCAGGACTAAGTATTATCTAGACCATCCCTGACAGGTATTTGTCTAACCTGCTCTTAAAAACCTCCAATGACAGATTCTACAACCTCTCTAGGCAATTTCTTCCGCTGCTTACCTACCCTGGCAGTTAGGAAGTTTTTCTTAATGCCCAACCTAAACTGCCTTTGCTGCAATTTAAACCGATTGCTTCTTATCCTATCCTCAGAGATTAACAAGAACAATTTTTCTCTCTCTTCCTTGTGAAAATCTTTTATGTACTTGAAAACTGTTATCATGTCCCCTCTCAGTCTTCTCTTCTCCAGACTAAACAAACCCAATTTTTTCAATCTTCCCTCACAGCTTATGTTTTCTAGACCTTTAATCATTTTTGTCACTCTCCTCTGGATTTTCTCCAATTTTTCCACATCTTTCCTGAAATGTGGTGCCCAGAACTGGACACAATACTCCAAATGAGGCTATATCAGCGCAGAGTAGAGTGGACTACTGCAGTAGAGCAGACTACTGCATCTACTGGCCTCCCACTGACATCAAGATATTTTACACACTGACTTAATACTTGATGCCCATTTGCATCGATACATTCATCAGCCATGTATGCAATTTTTTAGAATGGAATGAAAGAGTTCTTCACTTTTTCAACTGCTGAGTCTTTCACTTTTGCACTGCATGCTTCTAACCAGTCAGTTGAGTTTCTTGCAGAAAGATAGTGAGCGTTTGCCAGTCTTGTTTGGAACCAGTGTCCAACTTCAGGGTTAACAAGTTGTCTTCCAGTTTGTAGTGTGTGGTATCTCTTGCTTAAACAGAATAGATGTGACAGCCATGTTTGTTTGCATAAACTTTGTTGTGTCTCCAGCATTCTTAACAACCTCATAAAGTACTTTTAAAATTGGCTTTGACAGTGACTGGCTTATAAGGCTTTGATGTCGATGCAGTCTAGAGGCTTCGTGTTTTGCAGCCTTTTCATGTAGTTTGTCAGTATTGGCTTTGTTGGTGATCAGTCTGGCAAACCAAGCTCCTCCAGTTTTACCAATTGTAGCAGTAGGAAGCTTTCCTTCTTCATAAGCTTTTTTGCAAGTGGTGCAATAGTTGTCATCTTTCGTAACTTCAATAAATGGGAAAAGTTTGACCAACAAACATCAGGAACTGCCTTTAGGTTGTGGAAACACTGTTTCTTCAGTAGGTAGCTGCATGTGTGCCTTGCGCTGTTCAGAAGTAGTGTGAAAGTGAAATGAATTA